TAATTTGTAAGTTAGAAAGGATCTTGAGCTTAAAGTTTATAGTAAATTTATATGTTTTTATTATAATTTTTATTATAATTTATTACATGGTATGACATCTTCCCTGACTGATATTGCAAAATGTGAATATTAAATTTTAGCCAATTAGCACAACTTTTATTATAAAAAAATGGTTTTTGACCATTTTTTTTTATCGTGATAATAAACTCACTTGATTAAATAATTTATTTTTCACTAATTAAAAATTGAACTTAGACCTATTGATTTAGATACTTGAGAGCATTCTTAATCTTTGCAGTATAACTTTATAACAATAATTGAACAATAGACAACCTTAATAGAAATACTTCTGAGCAGGGTTTAACTCACTATATTAATTTATCGGCTATTTAAAAGTGCTATTCTTAACCTATAATATATTAGAATTTAATTAGCTAAATAGTAATATGCAATATACTAACTTTAATAAATCAAAAAAATACTTCAAACAATAGCAGTGACATAGTAAATGGCCAGCAAATTAATATAGTATGTTAAGTTTTGCTTCTGAGACACCCAGGATGACCGCCAAAGAATCTGGTACATGGATTATACAAGAGAATATATTGTTCTGTATAATTCATTTATTTAATAAACAATAGATACTTCTAAGCAAAAAATCCAGTTCTTCTCTTGAGAAATATCTATTGTCTAATTATTGTTAGTAGTACATTCTATAGATTACTTATGAGTGTTTTATGGTTTGTCTCATGAATCAAAGAACAATTATAATATGCAGAGAAACAATTATGTAAATATGCATATACCTGATCCACTACAATATCTGCTCAGAAGAACTAAATTTTTGCTTGAAAGCATCTATAAGCCATATAATCTTCTTATTAGGACTATATTTATATATGATCTAGTTTTTGATGATTATCCTAAAGCCTGGAAGGAAGATAGTTACCAAAATAGCTTATAAATATACTGATGTATATTTTAATTAAGCATAAATTTTAATGCAATTATATTATATAACTATATTAAAATTTATACTTAATTAAACAAACGTACAGTATATTAATAGCAATTGAATCTCTCAAATTATTAATAATTGATAATTCATATTAATAAGGCCAGACTAATTTAGTTTGGTAGTTTATATTACCCTCTTTTAGTAAAAAAAATTTTGAAGATATATATACATGATTTTGGCTAGAGAGTTAATACCAGGTGGAATTAAAATTAGAAATTGAAAAATTCTAAAAAGAAATGAACGAACATAAAAGATGAGTAAGGTCAGGCTGATAATTTCCATTGAAAAAAATTTTAATCAAATTTACTATGTATATGTTTCAGAGTCCTCAGATTTTTGTAGCAAACTATTTTTTAGCAGAATTTGCTACTTTTGTTCTAAATATGTGATTTTATCTTTGTTCTTGAACTAATTTATATAAATGAGTAATTATATGCATATTTTAGATGATGACTGAAGAACTCACTGAAATGATAGATAAAGAACTTGCAGAAGAAAAATATGATTACATTAAAATTTATACTTACAAATATAAATTTTATAATAAGCTATTTTGTTAAATTTGCCAATTTCACTAGCTATTTTTGCTATCAATATTTGGGTCTCTGAACAAGATTAAAATTATTAATTATTAACTAGCCCGAAAATTATATTGAGTTCTTAGTTTATCATCTCTCTAGATTTTATATATTATTTTTATGCAATCAAATTTTTGTCTTCTAAATGAAATATAATAATCCAATCTTCTAATAGATCAAGAAAATAGTAATTAATTAAAAGAATTTATATCATTCTTTCTTCTAAGATCAAAATATAAAAGAATCGTATTTTGCCAATTTATAATTCAAATCGAAGTTTGATTTTTTTTTTTATTTTTTTTGCCTTAGAAATGGTTAAAAAAACTTTTAAAACTCAAAAATCCTTTAAAGCCCAAAAATCTTTTAAACCACAAAAACCTAAAATACAAAATTTTTTTAAAACTCAAAACCTAAAACTCAATCCTCTAAGACTTGAAAATTAAGAAATAAAATGAGAAATAATTATAAAAGCAGAAATGAAAGTAGCAAAAGTGAAAGTAATGAAGACAAAAAAAAAATAAAAAAAAATGTAAAAAAAAGAAAGTATAGAAGTGAGAGTAACAGAGAAAAAAATAAAAAAAGAAAATTTAAGTAAGTTAATAAGCTAGATGCTGTGAAATTGACAAAAAAAAGATTTTTAAAAAATCAATTTTTATATTATAAATCTTATAATAAACTATAAGAAAATGCAAACTTTAAAGAGCTATACTACAAAATTTTATTAAGTAAAAAATGATCCTAATCTTTATTATAAATTGATTTATATAAAGAAATTTCTTTTTAAAAAATTAGCAATTTCATCTTTTTTTGCAGCATCTAGCCTATATAATTATTTATTTATTATATTAATTATTATACTAATTAATTTATTAATATATAATATATAGTAAAAAACCAGCTTTACCAAAACAAAAGTATACAAAAGAAAAGAGCATATTAAAAATAGTTTAGATAGTTCAACCATAAAAAAAATAATTAAATGACAATAAAATATTTTAGAAGAGGATAAAGAAACATCTAAAAAAAAAGAAAAATCAGAAAAAGAAGCCAAATAAGAAATACTAAAATCAAAAAATATATATCTATTAAAAAAATGCTATATGAACTTTAAAGGCTTTATGTGTAAGTATATTTACTTGAAAATTAATTTCTAAGAACTTTAATATATAACTTTAGAAAGTTTCTGATAATTACCAGGGTAAATCTTGAATTTAGATATGCTATTGTTGAAGGGCTATTTGGTTAGTAAGGATTATGAATATCAAATACTGTAGCAATAGTATACTTGACTTTTGGGCTCTATTTTGGATAATCAAGTTTCAGTAGATTTGTTTTTATTAATATTTTTATTATTTTTTTATATATTTTTTTATTTTTATTTTTATTTTTAACTTTTGTGATTAAATGTGTGCTACTGCTAAAAAGCTATTTGGTTAGTGAGGATTATAAATATTAGATACTGTGGCAGTAATACACCTGTTCTTTAAAAAATCAAGTTTCAGTAGATTTGTTTTTATTTTTTATTTTTTTACTCTTTATTTTTTTTATTTTGATTTTTTTAACTTTTATAATTGAACTGAAAAGCTATTTGGTTAGTAAGGATTACGAATGCTAATATTGCAATAGTGATATATTCAACCTTTGGAATTCATCACTCTAGATAATCAAGTTCTAATAGTTTTATTTTTTTTATGTCAAATAATTTAATTTTTAATATTAAACTTCTGTGGTTAATATACTAACATGTAAGCAAAATACTAAATTTATTTTAGAGAGAAATTACTTTAATATGTCAAAATTACAACCTGATCAGCAATTAAAGCTTCATAAGACCTTTGAAGAACAAATAGATTTAGTTAACAAACCAATAAATCTAGTAATTACAAAGATCTTGGATAACGAAATATTTCTAGTTGTCAATAGTGTAATTTACAAAATATTATATCAATACCACTGATACCAAAGAGAGAAATTTATTCTAAACCAAAAACTACCTAAAGAAGTGAAAATTAATAAAAAACGATGACATAAAAATACTTGTAGATCTGTAGTAAGTAAAATATCATTTGGGTTGTTGCATAGCTACACAACAACTATATTATTAATTTAACTATTTACAGTATTAAGACTTTTTTTAATAATAGAAAAGAAAACAAAAAGCAAGAATAATTGATCATTTAATAGAAATAAATGATAAGCTAATAAGAAAAGTAAAACAAGAAGACTTAAAAATAATACAAAATAGTAATCATTACTATTCTCCAGAGCTTTCAGAAATAGATATTGAATCAACATAAAGAAATATTGTAATTAAAAATCTAAAGTAGAGATCACAAACTGTAAGTTAATTTTATAATACACATAGTAAATATCTATGCATCTTTTTTTTTTGATGGACACATATGATATGCATCTTTTACCAACTATAAGTATATATTTGTAAGAGTATATATTTAGAATTAATAGATCTATAAGTGTTCTTAGTAAACAGTACTAAGATATATAATAAAATTATAGAAAACATATACTTATAAAACTTGTATATATAGAGATTAATTTAAATGATTTTATTTTTAAATTAAAAGAGATGCTAAGAGATTATGTAGACAAGATTTATGATGAAACAACTAAGGTCAAAAAAATTCAGATAAGAAAGTATGGAATAGAGTTTGTATCAGAAGAAAAACCACCAATAAATATACCAAAATGAATGTTAGCAAATGAAACTATGATAGTAGAAGAGGTAAGTGAAATTGATGAAGAGGTAAATGACGATGAAGAGGTGAATAAGGTCAATGAAGAGGTGAATTAGATCAATAAAGAGGAAGAGGAGGTTGAAGAAGAGGAGAATGAGCTCAAAATATTAAAAGCACTGTAAAAATTTATATGACCAAATAATTTGTTATTTTGAAGATATAAATTCATAAACATGGAATATAAAATACTGATTAACACTTTTTTTATAAAGAAAAAAATAGCAAATAGCAAATATTATACTTATTTTAAATATTATATTAAAAGATGATACAACTATATATCTTTGATAATATATAGCAAAAATAGAATAATAAATATAGATTAGATGTAGTAATTTTTACTTTAATGATATGCTTATATAAAATTAATCCATTATAAAATTAATCTATTGTTAGACAAAGATATCACAGGTGATCTATATCTTCAAAATTCTGCAATATAATTTGTTGATAAGTATCTCTTCTTATTTTATTATTTATTATTAACAATATTTTTAACTTATTTCTTTATGCTTTTTTAGAGTTTCAAAGTTTACCAAATACTAGTTTATGATAATAGACAATTAACAAACATAAAACATGAAGACATCAAAATAAAATATAGGTTACTTTTACTAGTAACTTATACATTACAGTGCATTTGTAGAATTAAGCTAACAATTGGTTACCAAATCTAAGCCAAAATCAAATTTTAGTTACTAAATTATATATTAATTAATCAATGTTAAATCCTGAAAAAAATTTGAACTCCTGATTACCTTTTCACTCCCGATATATTTTATTAGACATAGGAATTTATTATAATAATACATCATAACTTGGAAAATATTAGTTATCTTAGTCAAAATCTAAAATTTTAAGATAGTTTACAAATGTACTGTATTAGATAACTTATCTGTAACTATTTTGGCAACCCTGATTAGTATCTACTTGATTATTGCAAAATTAAGTATTCAATAAATTTTAAATTATGTAAATTATACAAGTAGGGATAGGAATCGGCTATATGATTTAGTCGACTAAATTGATTAAACATAGTAATTTACATATAAATTTTTTAGTCAACTAAATCAATTTCTATCCCTATATGCGAGTCCTAGAATTAAAGTTAAAAATCACATAATTACAAATTGCTTTGTAACTTACAAAATTGTAATATAACTTTACAATTAATAGTAATTACTATACCAATATTATATAAAAAGTTAATAGCATCAGGGTATAGTCCAGATTTTTCAGATATTAGCCAGAATTATTTATCTAATTAGCATTAGGATTAGAATATTTTTAGTAGATTTAGGTATGTTCTTATATGTAAAATTATATTCTATATTTTTTATGCTTTTTATTTTTTTTTGTTAGAAAATTTGAACTACACCCTGATATTGTTATAAAAGTATTAATTGACCTGTAGATCGATAGCACAGTGTTAGTGCTCCTAGGTCACAATTGCAAGATCACAAGTTCAAGTTTAACTAGCTAAGAATGATTAGTAGAAAAATGAAAAAAAGAAAATATTATACAAAAAATATGCATACTCATGTAATTTTGTTTTCTTTTACAGTAAAGATCTTTATTTTTAGCCAATCAGCTTATGAGTAAAAAATTGATAAAATTTAGCTTTATTTTGCTAAAAATATCTAATATAAGTTTCCGGAGTCCTGGTCTGGCCCGCATATATATAGATTTTTCTCAGACCTGGTTTGACCTAGCCTGCAAAGATTTGCAGTCTGGGCTATAGAACTTAATGCAGACCTCTATCCTTGATAACTAGGCCAACTTGATAATACTAGTAATAGAGCATTGCTCATATAATTAATATTCTGTATAATACCATTCAATATCATAGGCTAAAATTTGTATGATTGCAATTTCCATTAAGCGTTGTAAATTAAATTTCTTTCTGCCTAAAAAATACACGTTTGAATCGATTATTAGCATCAATTTCATATGTTGTAATGCTTCTGAGATTAGCTAAAAGAAATTATCAAGTAATGGTTTAATATGTGGATAGTTCTCATCCACTGTTGCTGCACTACGTCTTTTGTTGGCAGCTTGGCTTCTTCAAGCTGATATATATAATGCTTTAGAATATACACAGTTCATAATATCATAAGGACGAAGTGCTGCTATATCTTCAGCCAATGGTGCAGTAAATCGTTCAAAAAGTGATCCACGTGCTTTGAATGTTTCCATAAAAGTTGGACAATTTGAATCATGATGAACTAGCTTTGAAATATAAATGTAACTATCTTTACATCTATTAACCGAAATAGTAAAAGGGCATGTACTAGTTTTGTTTGCAGGACAAATAACAAGCAGCTTGTTGGGTTTGTTAGTTTTGAACTGGTAAGGCGCAGTAAATTCAATAGAATAATCGTCTAGGGCTGAGCGAACTCCTTCCATTTTAGTAAATATCATCCCAATTTGTAATGTGTTTGACATAATGATAACAATCAAAGATGATGATTTTATAAATGAAATTGTTAGAATTCGAGACGAAAGAAGTTAGAAAATCGAGACGAAAAAAATTTACTAATAGATAAGTATATTTTATACTCTTATATAATTACTAATTTACATTTGTTAACGACATTTCTTATGCTCATATATAAGTTAAATCATGATTGGCTTGAGATCGTGCTTAAGCCACAATGGGAACTGATTTGTACAATGCAAAATTACTTGGGCCCGTATTTGTAATATTTTCAAAAAATTAGGCCTTTATAACTAAATATTTTTAAGTTGGGCCCTTATTTATAATTATTTTCAAATTTGGGTCCCAATGTATAATTTCTCCTATTTTTTATTTCTAAATAATAGCACTGTAACTCAACCCATCGCTATTTATTTATATCTTTTGCTTTTAAATAATATAATCATTACTTCTTTATTCTTAATTTTTCTTAACTTTATTATGTTACAGTTTATTAGAATTTGATATCAGATTAGATATTGCTGCAAAAAATGTTGTAGTAAAAATCCTAATGGGTGTATGGTCGATATGAAAACAAAAAAGCAATATGAAAGAGAAAAAGCACATTTCCAAAATAAGTTTGCTAAAAGAATAAAAACAAATAATAATCAAACTAGATATGCTAAAAGCTCAGTACAATCAAAAGATAATGAACAAAATAAACTTAGTTTGAATAATGTAAAGTTGGCAATAAAATCTATTTAACCAAAACAAACAATTATATCTAAAAAAAAAAAAAAAAGACATGATTAATTTTGGTCTCAATGATCCCTTGATCAACAACAAAAAATCAAACTACAGTTAAAGTTATAGAAAAGTTACAAAGTAGACACTATGAAATTTTTGGTTCATACTTTCATACTTGCTGTTAACTAAACTTATATATGTGAAACACTGAAAAGCGGACGTATAAACAAAAAGTAGGTCTGGTATCGCGGTCAAGCTCTTTTTTACAAGCTGTTGTCGACGAAGTTCTTAAATGTAATATACTGAGGTGCAGGCATTGTGGACAGTTTGCACAGAGGTCAAGCCTCTTTTCAAGTTATCAGAGTGGACTCCTTTGTGTATTCAGCATATAAACCAGGGGAGTCTCTGGAAATAGCAAGTAAAAAAGAAGTGGACTCCCCCATAACTTCGATATCCAAACCAAAAGGATATTTTGGGAGCAACGTTCCTGTGAGTCCCTGTGGAAGAATATCTAGTAGAAACAGAGGAACTGAACTATACTACTGTAACTCTAACAAGAAGAACCTCACATACTTTCGTTGGCCCACCACTTTTTTTCGAGAAAATTTTTGTAAAAAGTGGACGTTTCAGCTTACTCTCTCCAAAAGATCAATATTATGTACACCAAAACAGTCAGTATTGTTTACTTCCTAAATTAAAACAACAGAACAACAAATATGTCAAGGCACGTGCCTCGAATGCAACAATCACCGACCCCTACATTCTATGGTCGAAGAAGTATTTTTCCACTAGTTTTGAGCTTTTATATACTATTCAGATAAATTTAAAGTAGGGATTATTTTATTTAGTAGTATGTAATTTTTATAGACCGTTCACAGGCTTATAATAGTGATTATTAGGATAGGCAAATTTCTTTTTTCTCTTTTTTTCGATATCCCCTTACCCCTTTTTCTTTCTTGTTTGTATTTTTTATCATTCTCCTCTTTACTTCTGTTTTATTTTTTCTTTTGTGTTTGTGCTTTCGTTAATTTGGCTCTTTTGATGAAGCATGCAGCTGCTAGGGCTAAGGATCGGAGGGTTCATATCCTCAGTAAGTTGAGGATCCAATGTGAAGCCAATTGCTGCTAGGTGGGTCATTCTTTAAGCTTTGCTCGAGTTGATTTTTACTCATGTGAAATATAGTATAGAAAATTGTATCTCCCTGTTGATATAAGTTCTAGTACTTCCCAATAAAGAGGACCGCCGAATTGAAAAACAAAATTAATTTTGGTCTCAAGAAAGTCAAAGCAGTACAAAAAATTTAAGTTATACCAAGTTAAAGCCTTCAGATAATAATAAAAATAAGACAGAATCAGAATCTTTAAAAAATAACAAATTAAAATTTTTTGGATAATGACAATAAGATAGTAATCACCTTGAGAATAATGAATCTGATAATATAGATAAAGAATATATCGATTACTTTAGGATAATAGATATAGTAATATAGATAATGAATTTGAGGATAATAGATATGATTATTTTAAAAATAACAATAAGTTTTTAGATAATAGTGATAATATTAATGATAGTGAGAATAATTACTCTGAAGATAGACGTCAATGTTTTCAAACAATTCAGAATTTTATAAAGAAACTGAAGATTTAGAAAGTATTTTAGTTAATCCATTTCAAGCTCCTAATGTTGATTTTGATAAACCTATCCATATTCCTGAGCCCAATATAAATTTTGATGATTTATTGTAGATTCTTATATGGGTTTTAAATTTCAAGAAAGATTTCAACTATCAAATATAGTAACTGATGCTCTTATCAGTTTTCTTTATTTAATTTTAAATAATATTAATAAAAACTATTTTGAAAAGTTTCTATCAAATATTGATTTTGCATAGGATATATTAAATTTCAATAGACAATTTAGAATATTTACAGTTTGTTCTAAATGTAATAAATTATATAATACAACAGAAATAACACCAGATGATCAAAATTCTAATAGTTTTAAATGCATACATAAGGAATTTTCAAATTACCCAAAACCAAATTAGTGAAAACCTTGCGAAGAAGAGCTATTAAAAAAGACTTTAACAGTAAAAAGATATATTTGGCACCCATGAATGCAATATCTACTACCAAGTATAAAGTCTCAATTATTTTTAATATATCAACAAGATAGGTTTAATACATTACTTAAAAATAGACCAACTAGTCTGTAGATAATAATGCAATTTCTGATATCTATGATGGAGAAATTTGAAAAACTTTTCTTTTTCAAATTGATGGTTCAGATAATTCTTATTTTTTCACACCTGAAATAGCAGATTGTAATTTAGAAATTTTAATTAACTTCAATTGGTTCCAACTGTTTAAATCTTTAGTATATAGTTGTGGTATAATTTATAGAGCTATATATAATCTTCCATGTGATATAAGATTTAAAAAAGAAAATATACTTATACTCAGACTTTTGCCAAGTTCTAATAAGATTAAGCTTTATAAAATAAACTACTATTTGGCACCAATTGTAGATGAATTATTAGAATTATAGAAAGGCGTAATATTACTAATAGCAAAATAATTAGACTTGCAGTAATTTGTTGCTCATGTGATATTTTGGCAGCAAGAAAGCTATTTGGACATATATTAGCATTATCTGAATGTCACTAATATTATGAACAAATTTCTAAAACAGATAAAAAAAATAAAAAGAAAATAAAAAAAAGTAAAGATAAAAATATTATGAAAAATCAAAAAATTAGCTCCAATCACGTAATTTATACAAACATATAAAAAATGCTCAAGCATGGTTGCAATATACAACAGAGGCACAATGAAAAAATCATGTTTCTAATACATATGTTAGATAGACAGAGCTTCTTTGATTGCTATATTATAATCCAATTAGATATTTGATCATTAATTCTATGCTTTGTCTGTTTCTTGAGATTACACAATAGATTATAAAGAAGTTTTGGATCGATAAAGGAATAATTTCTAAATCTGATCTTTGGATAATAGCTAATCATACAAAAAATTATAATTACCTATAGATTTATGAAGAATACCTAATAAAATTGCAACTGGAGATAGATTTTCAGGATTTACTATGGATTAGTAAAAATTTTTTATTTTATACTATACAACACCAATAATGTAGGATCTTTTAAAAAGTTCTGATCGAAAATTTTAGCCAATTTTATTAATAAAAATATATTAAATGAGGCAAATTATCGATTGCGAATAGTTGCTTAACTAATTGAAGAACATTATGGATCAGAATCAATAATACCTAATATTCATTTGTCACTTCATATAGTTGAATATTGTTTAGATTATAGTCCTTTGTATTCATATTGGTGTTATTCATTCAAAAGAATGAATAGTATTCTAGGATCATATAAGAATAGTAAGTGCTAGATAGAAGCAGAGCTACTAAAAATTATGATGCAAACCTGGCAATTAGAATATTTAATTACTAATTTAAGTAATATGAATTATTAACAGCACTTTAATTACTTACTCCATATTCTACTGTTGGAAGTTTGGCAATGAATGATAATTTTGAAACTACTGAATTGCGTTAATTTTTAATAATATATATATTAGAGAGTGAAATAAATACTGGTACTGAGGATTTTCCTAGTGATGAATTCAGAAAATATACAAGTAGTCTTGCCCAATAATATTTACTATTTATTAGTCAATTATTACAATAATTGTTATAAATCAACTTTTGTTTCTATTAGCGAACTTAGTTTATCAACAACTGTTTATCCACTTATAAATCAATTTGGATGTATTCAATTGGATCTGAAATATTCAGATCAAGAATGATACCAAAATATCAGAAAAGTTTAAGTGCAAAATCACGTGATTAAGTTGTGATTGGTTAGATAGTGGTTAGAATTCACCCCATGTCTTATCGTCAAATCTTGGTAACTCCCAAATTGGTTCATTCAGATAATCAGTCCTTAATAGCCTCCCAATTTGGTATGCCTGTTATTTGAAGTATTTCTAGACTGGTATACCCTTCTAATAGGTGGCCTCTCATCCGCGTTTCTTAAGCCAGGTACCTGCTGCTGCTGCTAGTCCCATATGAGAAGCATTGGTATCACATGTTGAAAAGAGGACTTATCACGAGTTTGCACTGCTCAATTTTTGCCGGCTTGCATTCCTTCATGCAACTTATGTTATATGAATGCCCCAAACCTCCCACTTGTATCCCCAGGTATACTAGCCTCGTATCTCAAGCCAGATCCCTGCTACTGCTGCCCGGTTTGCCATCCCCAGGTCTTAGCATTTCCTAAGTTTTTCGATGCAGTGTACTACTTATTTACCCCTAAGTACTCCCTTATATGGTATTCGTCAGGACTATAGTTTGTGAGGACACCTTGAGTTGCATAGCAACTACAAGGCTATACACTCCCAGCTATTGGCTATTTTTGTAATTCTGCTTTAATGACCTATCTTGTTAAAGACCAGCCTAACACCACAAAATTACTTAAGT